AAGAAAATAGCTGGATGAAAGCCACCCAGCGGGTCATTGGTGCATGGGAAGAGATGAGAGTTTATCATTTGAATCAAAGATTTTGCATCCACTTGGAGTTCAAAATGTTGGCCCCAGAGGTAAGTCTGCAATTTCTTCAAAACTCTGGCTACTCCACACAATTCCAATTTAGGCTGAGAGTATCGTGATTCGACTGGTGAAAATACTATTGATTTGTAGAGTACTGGTCGGTCCAATCCTGTATCGAGCTCCTGTTGCATCAAAACAGCTCCTGCTGCAATGAAACTTGAGTCCACGGCGAGTTTGATCATTCCGACATCCTTCGAATAGTCGATGCTTTTGAGTACAATGTCTTTACCAACAATTTGTTTGAGTTTCTCAAATGCGTTATCACATCCGTCACTCCATATCCATTCTTTCTCCTTCCTAGTTAGCTGCCTCAAAGGAGCTGCAACTTCTGAGAGGTTCTGGATGAATATTCGTACGTAAGTGATTAAGCCCAAGAATCCTCTGAGCTCTGTAAGATTATTAGGTGTTGGCCATGTTAAAATCTTATTCTGTTTTTGTTTAGAAACACACCGCCCTGTCTGAGAAACCACGTGTCCCACAATATCCAAAGCCGGAACACAGCAAGCAAATTTCTTTCCTGAAACTGTAAGTCCTGCTTCTTCAACCCTGAACAGTATGCGTTCCAAAGTTACAGCATATTCCCAAATGAAACGTCTAATCCCTGGATTGTCAGATAATACTTCGCCGCCGTAGGTCGTCCTAGGTCCTCTGATTCCACCATCGTCAATAAATACACCAGCATATTCTGGGATCTCGTCTTGCAGGATCCACATCATTTGTGCCTGGTATACTGCTACTGAGTTGGTTGCGCCTTGAGGAAGCCTCGTAAGTTGAAATCGTCCAAGTGGTGTGTCGAAAGTCGTGAGTGGCCTTGATTCTTCTGCTAATTCTCGCTCGTCGTAGCCGCCCATGATGTCACCCAGACCATAACAAGCCCTTCCCGCAAAAGCTTTGATAAATTCTTCAGTTGCAGGAGGTAAACCAGCGTCTTTAATTGTTACTTTGTTCATTTCTTGTAGGTCATGGACTATTCGTAATTTCCCATCATGTTTAGCTACACAGAAGACAGGGCTCGAGTAGCTTGAAGTCGATTGTTTGTATAATCCTGTTCGTACTTGTTCGCGTACTAATTCGGCATATTCGTTCTTGATTGCTGCTGGGATTGGGATTGGTTTCTTCTGCCACGGGATGTGATCAATCACTGGAATGACATAAGGTAAGCCATAAGAGTGTTTTAATAACCCCCGTTCTGCTGGACAGAATGCCAACGCTTTCTCCCGTAATACAATGAGGTGTCTGAAAAGTTTGATTTCTTCAGGCCACAGCCATCCTTCTGGTCCAAAGTTTATCACACCCAACCTTTCTTCCGTAATTTTTGATGTTGGTTGAAATGGTGGTGGGTTGGGTGTCAACGGTGTCTTATAAGGGTCTCGTGACAATGGTGGTCTTTGTAATGGGGGATTGATTGATTGCGGCATGGCTTGATTGACCGGTCGGACCTTCTTTGCAACTGGTTTGTATTTGGTCATACACCACAAGTTGTTGTCCTTCCAATTACTGCACATGTCTTTTTGGACTGTCGTACCCAAT